CCTCTCGGGCGCTGCAAGCTGCGCGATGCGCTCCCCTCCGCCGCTCGGACGCGCCCCTGCCCGACTCACCCTCCGACTCGGCCGCAGACACAGGACGACCGCCAAGAGCGCTGCACCACCCCTCCTCCCAGGGGGGGGGGGGGGGTGCCCTCGAGCAGTAGCACCGCTACCGTTTGAAAGTGTGACACCCCAAAACCGTAAAAAGCATGACAAAAATACGTACGGCTCCCCATCGGAGCGATAATGTGCACATGCTTCTCGCACAGACGTCGGCTCCCCGCGTCTCAGCAGAGATCTCACACTGTCCACTCGCATGGACGATGGAGGAGGGGACGGGGCGAGCTCTCTCGTCTCTCCACACGAAGACACAGGGACGTACACGCTAGGGTCATGGTACACCCCTCACTAGACAGAGCCAGAGGCGGAAAACGGGCAGCGGGCAGAGAGTACTCTCGAGTGCTCTCTGACGCGCAGCCACTCCGCACGAGACTGCTCGGAGACAGCGAGTACGTATTCATGCGCCCACCCCCCCGCCCAACCACCCCCGCACACGGGGCTGGCCGCCGGCACCGCTCTTTGGGCCCCGCCCGCCTCTCTGGCCCGCACGCGAGGGGCTAGATCGCCTTGTAGTGGTCGTCGTCGATGGTCGAGTAGAGGTGCCCGTCGCTCACGAGCTGGTTCACCTGGTTCCGGATCTGCTCGAGCGAGACACCGCTCGCCGCCATCGCCTCGTGGCACTGGGCGATGGCGCAGCCTGCCTCCGAGTGGTCGCCAAACTGCTTGAAGTACTCGAGCACCTGGGGGGAGGGGGCGGGGGGAGGAGTCCAGAGGCCGCATCGCGCCGTGGTGGCTGGGGGGCAAGGGGGGGGATGGGGAGAAACCTGGTCGGAGCCCTCCAATGCGCTTGCGCTGCTGCCATGCACGCCTGAGCCCACACCGGCGCCGCACCCAGACGGCTCCTCAATTGCGGCTGCGGCGGCGAGAGGCACGCTCCCACCAGGTCCGGAGCTGAGGTACTCTCCGGGGTCCGGCGGCGCCGGTGGCGTGATCGGGAAGGTGAGCGTGCACGTGCACTCCTCTTCGTTCCATTGCTCCGTGTACACCGAGTTGGGCTCGACGGGGCCGGGGAGGTGGAAAGAGAGGACCCTCTTGACCTGCAAGAGGAGGGTGGGCGTGTGCAGATGCCGCAGGCGGGGAAGGGGGGTATATTGGGGCGGGGCGGGGGGGGGGGGGGGGGGGGTCCCCCCAATGAACCCCCCCCGGGCTGGGTCTTGCAAGAGGATCTTGAGCTTGGGGTCCCCCCCCTTCCCGTTCTCCCCCCGGAGCTCGACCTGGGGCAGCGGCACAACTCAAGGGTTGGGGTTGCGGCCCCCGGATTTGGGCTGAACCTGTGTGTGTGTGTGTGTTAAAGGGGGTTAAGGCCCGCTTTTTTTGGGGGGGGGGGAGGGGAAACCCGGGGAGAACCCTCTGCGCCG